CCCGGGCTCCCCCGCGGGGTCCCGGCGCTGAGGGGGCCGCGGCCCCGGTGGGCACCGCAGGAGGCCCCTCCGCACCCGGTCAGGCCTCCGAGCCCCGAGCCCCACAGGGGCTGCGCAGCCCTGTCCTCCTGCCGAGCCTCCAAGGCCTCCATGCTCCTGGGGCCGTCGGGCCCTGTCCCCTTTGCCCTTCCCATCGACCCGCCATCTTACCCACGCTTGGGTGCCCGTCCCCATCCAGCAACCGTGGCGCCAGCGTCCGCCGCCCCAGGCCTCATTTATTCCTCCAGGGAGCCCCTTTGGACCTCAAGTGCCGTGTTGGTTTACCCCGCGTCGCCAGCAGCTGAGGGGATGTTCTCCAGTTCAACCTCAATGTCTGCAGCGGCGGATCCCGGTCCTGACGGCCGAGGGGAGAGCGTGCAGCGGGTGCAGCGTCAGCCAGGGTAGGGGGAAGCAGAGACCCCCTGAGGTACCCCCGAAACACATCTTGTTGCTGGCACTGGGAGTGGCGGTGACTTGCTGCTTGTTTTCTGCTGTATTTATTGCTCAAGTTGGGACCGACAGCTATGCTCATTGCTTATTCACGCAGTCCCAGCCATCCAAGGTGAGCTGTGATGAAAATAAACTGGAATTCTACATTTTAATTGTAGAAACGTGGTGGCCCCAGCACCTACCTGGCATTGTTTTTTACCATGGAAGGCAGGGGATCACAACAGCCCGATACGTTTGGCTCCGCTACACAGGTCAGGGGAGTGATGCTGTGTTCATGACAGACCTGCTCAGGTGCCAATCTACCACCATTCTGCACAAAAAAATGGTGTCTTTCCTAGCGGGGATTAACAGCATGCTCCCTCTCAAATAAACCCCATCAGTTCTTAAGAAATCAAAATTGACTCTAAAAGTTTTGAAATACCACTTGTGGGAATAGCAACAAACCCCCAAGGGCATGCCTGAGTGTAGCAAGATCATTTAATTCAACTAGGAAAAAAAATAAATCACGACTTAAGCAGGGTTTTGCATTTTCTCCTGCACGGTTGTGTCACTAGATGGCCTTCCAGACCAAATACAAACACGACTGCGCTCTGCATCTCTTTCAAGGAAGACCCTGCGTTGTGCAGAGGGCAAACAAAAAGCTAGAAAAGGCTCTTTCGGCGATAGGGAGGAGAGATGTGTAAAAACCCAAAGAAGTGTCATATAATTCAAATAATAATAATAATGATAATAATAAGCAGCAGCCAAATTCACACCTGTTTAAAGCTAACCTTTTTACTCAGGAAAAAGTTGATGCAAGCATGTAGAATATACAAGCTGTCAAAAAGATGCTTTGTGAACCACAATCTTATATATCTTATCTGGGACACAGTAAAAGCCATCAGCTCCTGTCAACTGCAACGGCTGGGGGCATTCCAGTATCGCACAGGAATGAATGGTCCAGGAAAGACTTGTTTTACCCTGAAGAGATTTATTTGGACCTGGCTCAAAACCAGCGTCACACTATGTATGATGCGATCAGCAGATTTAGTAGTCTTCCTGTAACTGAGTATTATAATTCAAGGTTTTTTTTCAAGTCAATTATTGCCATAAAAGTGTTTGGGGGGATAAATGTATTATTTTGTGGGTCATTGTTAGGTTAGGCTTTTTGTCTTTTTTTTTTTTTTTTTTTTTGCATGTCTCACAAAACAATCTTTGCATTTCTCACAGCTTTGTCTCCTTTTACATTTTATCATTAAGGAAACTTTTTAGATTTGTACACCTTTAGATTCGGGACAAAACAATATAAAATGAGTAGATTATAAAATCAACTGTAAACACTCCAAAACCTGTTTTTAAATAATGGATGTTCTATTTGTAGCGAGCTAACTTAGTATTGACAAAATACAGCATTTCAGTGTCTCCGTTACTTATTTTTAATTAACAGGTATGCAGTGCTTTAGGCATATAAAGTCCTATGCAAAAGCGAAGCGTATTTTGCTGACTCCGAAAAAGTAAAATCTAATATGGAAATCTGCCATTGATTTAAATGGAAGAAGATTCAACCCTCTATTAGTAAAATTCAAATCTAATCATTATTAATTGCAAGTGTCCTTCCTCTACTTTTGTTTTGGCCTGTATGTTGGTTTTGGCACGAGTTCTGTTTCATCAAAAGCTTACACATCTGCAGCTCAAGAGTCAATATGCCTATAGAGATTTACAGTGAGCGTACCAAAGTCAAGACTTTAATGGGGTATGGTAAATCTCTGTGTTCCAATCTTGTTACCAATTTGTCGCTTCACGATTGCCAAGGAAAATAATAGAAAGGAGTGAAAGGTTAGCACACTGCCTAGGAAAACTGCTGGAAGCATACGATTTTTAAAAGATGCTTTAACACTGTAGATGGTATTGATGGGTAATTCAGGTTAGTTACGAGGACACCCAAAAAAGACTCACAGATTAGGTTTAATATTGAAGCTATGACTTTTTTACAATACCGGGTGATGAGAGAAGTTGACACTCCCATTTCTCAAAATACCAAGCCTGGGGAAAAGTGCTTGCAACCTCCTGGACAGTTCTGGTACGATGGAAGAACCTCAAGGCATATCCTTAGCCTAACCTCCTAAGGAAACAACACCAACGGGTTTGTGACATGCTTGGAAAAGACAAGGAAACTGAGATTTAATAATATTAAAAGCCCCTGAGTTTTGTGACTATAGAGAGTCAAGTGGGGGAAAAGAGGCATAATTGTAAATTTTTCTGCTCAAAAAATACTGTTTTAAATAGTAAATATGTTAACAGATTTGACAGAATATTCTGGTTAGCTATGTTCTTCCATTTGGAGGAGCTCCGAATACTGTCAAAGTTTTACGTTTCCGATCACTTAAGCTCTATCATAGTGCGTGCCCTTAGGATAATAAGCATGACTTGGAATAATATTTCTAATATAAAATACAACCATTTTAGCTAACCAGCAAGGTCTCAGACTACTGGTACTTCCTTGTAGCCTCAATTGCAGAGAGGAGTAACAGCAGACGCCATCTGCTGTATACTCATATTATGAGTTTATATGGTAATACAAACTACACAAGAATGGGGACATGTTCTTCCTAAATGTCTTCAGAACCACATTTTTGAAATACACTAAAAAATTTCCTTCTTGATAATACAGATGCCAGCTTTACAAAGACTTAAACATAAAATTAACAATAAGAACAAGTAGCCCCATTTATGTCAAAGGAAATATCCATAAACTTAGTTAAGAATGTGCATAACAAGACAGAGCCTTAAAGATTTATTTTTGAACGTTACCAGTGATATTAATTATTTGTGTCTTCAGCGATGAATTCCCACTACAGCATGTACATACAGAGCAAAAGACAACGCCCTGAAGAGTTTACAATAGGAAAGACAGACCCTAAAGAATGGGACTTATCATGTAAGTAGAGTGAATTTCTGATAAATTTCAGATGTTACACAAGGGCAACAATTGTTTGTCATGCGCACAGACCCTTACTGAAGAACAATCTCTGCCCCATGGAATTGCGCGTGAACTGGCAGGGCAGATAGGGAAGGGGAAACTGTAATGTAGGAGAGCTGAACTGTACCGTGCACGCACAAAGAAGTTATGGGTGACAGTATCAGTGTTAAGAGGAGAAGCCTATGACAAAGCTCGGTATATACGCAAGGTAATTCAATTTATTTACAGAACCACTGTACAATTTTCTTTTCACAGTTGTGTTTTTGCTCACAATCCCAAGCCTCTTTCGACCCGCACGCAACCCTGGAAATATCTTTTTTCAAAATCAAAGCTCTGTCTCCTTGACTTTCAGCTGCTTCTCGGTATCCATTTCTGTAGTGTTTCTCGCTGTTTCTCTTGCACATGCAGAGCTCCACCATCTGGTCCTCATGGCCTGATATTTTACACACACGCCCCCACCCCGAAAGATCCCTTGGGCCACATGATTCACCATCTATTCAGACCTTGCCATGTGCCTGTTTTTTGTGTAGTAGCCCCTACTGATGTAAATCCCTTGTTTCATAAGGGCTCTCAATTGCCTTTTTCACTGAAGGCAAGGTGGCTGTGACACCTGCCAGTTTCTAAGACGTTTAACGCAACCTAAAACATTATTACATTGTTGTTTGGCTGAGCAGGAACCGTATTTTTTTTCCCAGTGGGAAGTGCTGCCAGAAAGGTATTAACTTTCTAGACTATTAAGTAATGTGGAAAAATTATATTTCAATAAGAAAATTTCCTTTCTGCCTTTTCATGCCTTAGGAATATAGTTCCTGTTTCACTTGGCTGAAGTAGCCCAGGCACTAAATCAGTGCAAAAATCTTTCAATAAACTCTACATAAAATCTGTCCAAATGCTACCATAGAGTTCAGAGGGCTATGAAAGAAAACAGGACAACGGTCTGCAACAGGAGGTGTTAGCGAAATTAGACACACAACTCAGCAAAATCAGGCAGCGAATACTCAGGCACTTTGATGTAGTTTGGACAGATTTTGTTCATAAACCACACACTGACTGCTACCTAGCGAGCAGCTGTTTATAGGGAACCCATACTGTTTCTTGGGTTATTTTCTCTGGTATGCTTTAAATCAGGGGTGCCAACTATGTGGGCCAAATACGGCCTACCTGCTGTACGCATGGCCAACGTGCCGTATTTTGAATCTCACCTTTCGTTAGAAACTGAGTTCTTGGCCTTGCAGTTGTGGGGGAAAAACCCCTCCACTTTACAAATTTGAAGAGTGTGTAAATCAACATGGTAATGCCTCAGCCTGACACAGTAGGTGCTTAGGGGCAGTTTTAAGTTTCTGTTCCTCACTGAAGTGTGAATTCTCAAGCCAAGTTCTCTTGTAAAAAATGGGTAACACAAGGTTAAGATCATCCTATGGTTTTCTGGAACATCAAACACAATGACTGATCTCTGAAAAGCATGAAATGAACAAGCAAGCGCCTGCCAACACCACCATAACTCTGCCCCCGCGGATCTGGGCGATATGTGTGTCTCCCAGATGTGCTGGCACAGCTTCCCTGAGCGATGGGGAGGAATTTGTCAACACAGGCTGGCAGAGCTATCCCACTGGTGCTGGATCTCATCCTCTTCCTCTGTGCTCGACAGTGAGTCTGGAGATTCGCCGGAGAGAGAGGGATGCAAAATGCCTTGTTTCAGGCGAGATCTGCAGGTTGTGTTTGTGTTGGTAGCTGAGGTTGGTTTTA